AAAAAAAAAAAAAAAAAAAAAAAAATATAGAGAAAAATTATCTTATAGATAATTTTATTACTATTTTTTAGTGCTCAATTCTCGATTCTGTTCCAGTTCGCCGGAGCTCGTAAATCTGGTGTGCTACAGATTTAGAGACGTTTGCCGTTGTATCTTTGGGAAAGTTACGCCTGAACCGTTAGCTGCCACACGGGGCGTATTCTTCTTGCGGAAAGAGTTTTACTCGCCTCGGCTAAAATCTTTCTGTTTTAATTTATTTTTCAGTTGTAATTTAATTTTTTTTTTTCAGTTCAATTGTAATTTTCTATTTTTTAGATTATTTGTAAGAACTGGAAAATTACATATCAGTTCGTAGGATTCCCGTGTAATTTTTATACCCGATATATAACACCCTGTTCGTCTGATTCTATGGTTGAAGATAGCATTTTTGTGAGTGGAGATGCAGATGAGCAAGAACCAGTCAAGGTAGGGATTTATTATTCTTTTTCAAAAAAATGAAATTTTAATGAAATTTCGAGTTTTGTGGACGACCCTTGAATAGAAATGGTTTAAAATTTCATGGGTTTGTTTGGTTTTTGTTGTCCTGTTGCAGTTTTTGTGGGTTTTGTGATTCGATTTAGGGTTTATAAGGTGAAGTGAGATATGGAGCTCTGTTTTTCGAGTGATTATAAGGATTTTTACTTTGTAAGAAAAGGAATTGAAAGCGTGTTATTTGTGTGAAATTAGCTGTCTTTCCTGTTGTGTTATGCAGGAACTTTTTGGCAATATGGCCTTGCAATTTGCTGCTTTGAATTTGCTTTAAGAAAAGTTCTCAATATCCATCGAAAAAAAGGAACTTAAAAAGTTATATCTTAATCTGTTCCAATGAATTATATTCTCAGCTGCTGCAAATAACCAAATATGCTCCCAAAGAAAAAAAGGAAAGAAAATCAAACATAGAGCATGAAATATTTTACTCTGAATTGGACTATATATAAAGCACACTTTTCTGAAATAGAATCATCTGAATTCTGATTAGGCCGATTCAGGCTGTATCTGTAAAGAATGTTTGAGTTGTAAAATCAGGCTATTAGTCATATAGAAATTTGATGCATTGGACTAATTTAGGTACAAAACCTATACAAGTATTGAATCAAGAATTCATCATTTCAGCTATTCATGTTGCTCAACTCATTGCAGACTTTTAGTTTTGTATGTAAAAAAAAGCGTAAAAAAAAAAAAAAAATTCTTCCTTTCAATTCCAATTCTAAACGAGCACCATATATATATGCAGACCACATCGAGTCACGAGAAGCTCGAAGATCTATCTCCAAACGGGCCCCCAAAGCCCGTCGAAGCCCAGCCCGAGACAGCTGGCGGGCCAAACGAGACAACCTTAAAGAAGCCCGACAAGATCCTCCCCTGCCCTCGATGCAACAGCATGGACACGAAATTCTGCTACTTCAACAACTACAACGTGAATCAGCCTCGCCACTTTTGCAAGAACTGCCAGCGCTACTGGACAGCTGGCGGCTCCATGAGAAACGTCCCCGTTGGCGCGGGCCGCCGCAAGAACAAGACCTCCGCCGCGGCCCAATTACACCAACGCCCGGGCCCAAATGGCGCCGTCCTCACATTTGGGGGCCCAGACCAAACCCTAGTCGATGGGCCTGGTCTGGTTGGGCCTCCGCAGGCCCAATGGGTCTACCACCACAACCCGTGGGGCCCGGTTCCGTTCTACCCAACAACCACCACTCCGTATTGGGGGTGGAGTGTACCGTGCGTTGTTGGGCCCGGGAACTTGGGCCCGGGCCCGATGCTCGGGAAGCACTCAAGGGAGGTGGCGGTGGGGCCCGCGAAGGAGACTGATCCGGAGAGGTGCCGACTGTGGGCCCCGAAGACGTTGAGGATTGACGACCCGGAAGAGGCGGCCAAGAGCTCGATTTGGGCCACGTTGGGTATTGTGAAGAGCGATTCAGGTGGGGTGGAGTCGGGGAAAGGCGGCGGTGGTGGGATTTTCAAGGCGTTCGGGACGGAGACGAAAGGGGAAGAAGGGAGGGGTCGAGTTCCAGAAACTTCGTGCACCGTGCGGCAAGCGAATCCGGCAGCCATGTCGAGGGCAATGAGCTTCCATGAAAGCTCATGAAAACCAAAATGGGGGAGATGTGGGAGTGAAAGTTAGGGTTTTGTGGGT